CACAGTAATTGAGACAAAAACCACAGATGAAGGTCTGTAGAAGAAATGGACAACAGAGATTTAGCATCGTAATGCATTATTCAGTTCTACTGATGCAGAGAACAGGGCTTGATGGGTTTGCAGTTTCTTTTTTTAAGTATCTCTTTTGCACACAGGTGCTGGAATTGTCAGTTAAGTTGTGTACATTTCTTGTTTTTATTTAGAAGAAGTGAGATTCTATGGTTTAAATAAAGTAAAAAAGAATACTGATGAGAACTGCATGATAAATTCATTTCTAGTAATGGATACCCAGGTAGTATTGTTTTTTCCTGGGACAATAGTTGTAGGACAGACAATGTTCAGTTCAACATTTTAAGGTAATTCTGTCAGTTCACTCCTCAGAGCACAGAGCTGCCTCCAGATTCTCTGGCTCTGCTTCCCCTGTCACAGCAGCAATCACTGCAGCTCGAGCAGTGAGTTCTCCTGGATAACAGACAGACGCAGAATCCTTGATTAAAATGACACCTCTTCTAAAAACTCATCTCACCTGCAAGATCTGTTCTGGTTTGTAGAGTGCTTATGAGGGAGGTATGTTGAAGAGGAGTGTCTCTGCAGCAGCACATACATGCCACTGGCTTCTCCACTTGAACTGGGTGCTATCAGCGAGAACACAGAAAAACTTACTTTTCCATAACACCTCAAAATTTCACACTATTCAGGTGATGATATTTTTAAGTGAGAAGATTTCTAGAAGGAATGGGCAAGTGGTTACATATAAAAGAATAAAAAGACCAATGGAAACAACAGCTCACTCATTTTCAAAGGAGTAGAATGGATAATATCCTAAGGTAGCCTTTTGTATTCTGTTTTTCTTCTCGTACAAACAGCTGAGCTTCATGAAGCATTTTCCCTTCTCCCTTTTATCGTTTAAAAAATGATGCTGTTGGTTGTATTGTCGCTGAGGACACAACTGTGTCCTTCCATTCTGATACCCAGAACTGAGCAGCCTCTCTGGTGCTGACTCTGCAGTGGCATGTGACAGCTAACACCGCTGTCGCAACCCCTTCCCTAGCCATCTCTGCTCCTTGATGTTGCAGAAAATTAAACCTTTATGCTTTGAAATATTTTTGGTTTGTCCTCGCTGACAGCAGGAACATTTTTTGCAAGGGGCAACCGAACACAATAAGCGCTGCCACAGATCTTTTTGGCTGAACACATCCTATTTATCAGGGCATTTCTTGTTTTCTTTTGCTTTCTGTAGTCATAAAATGTCACTTCAGTCTTACTTGGACTCTGAAACTCAAATTACATTGGCAAAGTGTGTAAGACAGAGAACATTCCTGTAACAGAGAGAAAGGAGAACCATTGTTTACTTGTTGGGTCAGCTCTGTTCCAGTTTTTAAAGATCATATAGGAATCCCCTGAAAAGACTTTTGTGCCTTTTTCAAAAGGACAGTTTTAGTCCGTCAGAGGGATGCAATCAAGATTCAATTTCTGACTTTGTGACTATTGTTACTATTCAGGGCAGTTCATAACATTTTTTAACATAAATTTTTGTAGAGATCTTGTTCCTCCCATAGAAGTTTGTCTCTGCATATCAGGACAGATGACTGCACGCTCTCCTTTGTCTCAAACCCCATTTGATTCAACTTTCTGTTATAATGAAATGTTTTGCTAAGCCATCATTTTTGCTATAAATATGTTCCTTTGGCTGCATCGTAGTCATGGATTATTTGCTGCACAATCTTTTCAGCTCAGAGATGAATATACATTTTGGGACCAGCTTTTGAAATACTGACTTGCTTCAGGAAACTTCTTATAAGCAAGAGTTGGAAGCCAACACTAAATCAGTTTTGTGTATTTTATTTCCCAAGGAATCAGACACACTTTGTTTATTATCTATCAAGCCTAAAGCATAGCGTAAAAAACAAGACTGATTCAGAAGAGGACATTATAAAAATACTGAATCTGTTTTCCTCTTCCAGTGAAGAAACACATTCATTCACTTTAATACAAAAAAAAGTACTATGATACAAAGATACAAAAAAAAGAAAACTGAAGGGTTCATACATTTATTTCAAATACATAGCAAAATCTCAGCTCTTCACTTATATTTCCAAAGCAATTTTGCCTTGTGATCTCAAAATATTAAAATGTATGATAGCATCAGCATATTAAAGTAGATATTTAAGCACAATTTCTAATTAGTTGTTATTAACAAATACATCAGGTCTGAAGTTTCTGACAGTTGTACCTGAAGGAATGTGAACATAGTACCACTGTAACAAGTTTACTGCCTCCACTCCTTAATGAAATAGAGCTGCAGAACATAAACACCTGACACAGTATTTTAGCAATCTCCGATCTATCCATAGTAAATGATACTCACATGCTAGGCCTGAAAAAGTATTTATTTACATTCTCATGCCTCCAAACTGCACCTTCCAACTACTTCCGAGCATTGTTGATTTTGAACAGGGGAAAAGGAAGAACTAAAAACGGTGACTCCCTTAATAGCTGCAAATGCACCCATAGAGTTCACTCAACATCATTTGTACCTCACATACAGAGGTAAAATATTCAGTAATCATCTTAATGGGGTTACCCACACCACCATCCCCTAAATTCAAAGACAGATTAAACACAGCATGAATCTCTTGCGGATTCACATCTCCTGACAACTCAATCCTGCACCAAATTTTAGTGCCACAGGCTCTTAAACACATGTGGGTGAGTGTAAGGCACTAAATAACATCACTGGAAATTGCAGCTTGTGTCAATAAAGCCCCACGCATCCAAACAGTGGCCCGGTATGGCCATACAGTTGAAATCAGGATCAGATTCCAAATGTCCACACAAGTACGTTGTTGTCTGTCTGAGCTCATCTTCAGATCAACTGGTAAAAGAGGAGGATGAGTAATACGCAATTACCAAATGTTAATGTTAGATGTAAAAACGTAGGTTTTCTCTGAAATCAGTCCAAAACACTCAAATAAAGCAGTTTTATCTTTAAACTCTTTGAAAATGCTAAAATGACACACCCAGTTCAAATTTGATTTCCAGATCAGCCTTCTGATAGTAAAGCATTCAGGATCCCTTAATTAATGTTATAGAAAGCTGCACTTAATTACTTCTTAAGCACTCGTATCTACATAAAGTTGCATTACATTGCATACATCATTATTTAAATCCATTACCTACACATAAATACGCATCAAATTTGCATTGCAAATGTCTTCATCTTCTGCTGGGTTAATCACAAATGTCATATCTAAATCAATCCAAAAACTTCAGTTCTGGCTCACTAATCAAACATTTATTTAAAAAATATATGTATTATAATATACACGTACAATAAAATAACAGATGAAGGTATTCCAGGTAATATAAATTATAGTCAAATTCAAGAAAACAATTCCATTGAAATAACTTGTCTGGTCCAGTGAGAGCTGTTGTTAAAGATACTGTGTATACCACATGTACAGCCATCAGCCATCAGGCAACATAAAAAATATATTTTAGCACTAGAAAATCTATGCAGAAATGTCACCTTCAAGATCCATCTGGAATTAATAAGTGCTAATTTGACTCCTCAAGAGATGAGCAGAGCACTTTAAACCTCTTCCCTAGTAACAAGAAATTCCCACTAAAAGATCTGAGCTGGTTGTTGTAAATGTAAATGAGCGTTAGCTAATATGTGTAACACATATCCACATTTGGCCCCATGGTTTCATTTGACTTTCATTTCATGTAGTCAAGTTTATAAAAGGCTTTTTTAATTAAATGTAGCTTTCAATCTTCTTTAAATTGAACCATCAAATGAATATATAGAGGCATTGCTCTGTACAACTTGAAAAGTCATTAAACTCAAGTTTTCAGATACTAGTCAAAGACATAGGAAAAGATCAAACTGTGTCATGAAATATCAATGAAATGGTGCCATCCATTACTACTGTGTGAAGACCAAGAAACAATGTTTTTAAAAGGAATTCTGGAACTCCTTTGGTCACTTAACAGTACTGTGACATGCCCGCTTTTAAAAGCATGTTCTAATTTCATCTGTGAAAAAGCACAACTGAAAATACTGTTGAATTATGCACAATGGACAAACAGGAATCAGGTTACTCAGCTCACGTTTTAAGATAAGTTTTGTAAACATAAAGCAGTCAGAACAACATCAGGACTTGTTTTTTGCAGGCATGATATAAGATGTAGGCAGGAACTCTTGATCTTCCAGCAAGCAAGTGGGGATTGCACATTTAGATTTGCCTGGCTTCTTTAATTACACTTCACATAATCACAGAGCTTTAAAGTGCATGAAGACAGATACTCTGTCCTGCATTTTGTAGAAGAAAAGAACCCCTTGAAGATGGGACGTACCAGGCAACAGAAAATTAATACATTTGTGACAAAGTCTGGTGAAGTGAATACAAATTTTATTATTCCATGAGATGAATTCTGTCCACTGCAGAAGATGTAGGAAGGATGTATCAGCTCCACAAGTGTCTGTGAAACCCACAGTCAATCAAAGGTCTCTGACAAGGGAGCATTTGAGTGCTAGTACTGGAAATAAGATTACTGGGGGCTTTTCCATTCATTCAATGACTTTTTCCACCATGCTGCCAAATCCATGCTTCTCATCACTGTTGTAGATCAGTCCTTACAAAGACTTTACCTTAAAGTAGAATGCATTGCTCCCTTTGCCTGTCATGGTCTTAGGGATGGGCAATGGTACCATTGTTCAGTAGCTGCCTGCCTTCCAGCCCAACCGTACTGTTAGTCTTCTACAAGGGATTCCTGACAGCTGTTTTTTCTTTCCATGCCAGTGAGATTTTTCTTTCGAGGTCTAACATGCCCATGCAATAACATTTCCTACAAGCACGTTAGAGAGCAAAGAAGTGTGTCAGTGGTAAATAGCAAATGAAAAAAGTAGTTCATCTATTACAGACTCACAGTTTAATCAGGCACTGAAGTCAGTTGGGACGTATCAAAACACTAAGTCAAAAGATTCCATGTAGCCACTACACGTACGCCTGCATGCTTAGCAGTGTCCCTCCTGCCGTGTTAGGTTTGTGCAATCTGTGATGAGGAAGTGAAGGATACCTAGATTTTGGGGTTGTTCCAGCCCAGCACCAGAAGCTACAGTACATTGCTCCCGCCATGACAAGAAATGCAGCGCTCACCCAGCCCACGTAGAGAGCAGCTCCCAGTTCTCGTTTCAATGGCGTAGGGACTTTTGCATCGTAGAAGTCATGAATGATGCTGCCACCAGTCCAGGACACAGGGATCAGAACAAGGACGCCCGTCACAAGAAAGGCAACTCCAGCTGCTAACATGAAGATACTGATGCCCTGGGGATCCTCCTTGGTCCAGTGAGTGTACTTCACACCAACAATGGCCATCAAAAAGGCAATGATTGACAGGAGCACTGCAGTGCACATGAGGGCTCTGAACGCCTCTAAGGGTGGGGGAAGAGCCAGGATAGAGTCATAGAACTTGCACTGTAGCCTGATGCCCATCTGGCTGATGCAGTCCATCCACAGTCCTTCCCAGATAGTCTCAAACACCACGATGTTACTGTCAATGTGGGCAGAAACTCTCCATTGTGGCATAGCTGTAGCTGCCAAAGTCCCGACCATGCCCACGCCTCCAAATATTAGACCAATGATTTGTAGTGCACAGCAAGCCATGCTTCTTCTGAAAAAGGCACCTCAAGCAAGGGAGCCTAGCAAGTCTTCCAAAAGCACTCTTTCACTGAAGAAATATGAAGCATGGGAGAGAATACTTTCTCCTGTTGTTTCCTCATACGGTAAGATGCTGATTTTTTCTGCTGCTGCTCTCTCCAGTAGGAGGTTCAAACAGGTGGAAATCTATTTCTGACTGGCTAAAAGAACCTGCTATTTATTTGCTTTGAAATCCCCTTTGACTAAAACGCCTACCCATCAAGCCTAACGAGTTTCCAGCCAATGGAACACTAGGGAGGGGTTGATTTTACTGCAGCTTATGCGTATTATGTCAGTAGTGATTTTATAATTAAGTGCCAGGGATTCACTTAAAAGCACCCCATTGCAGGGCTAATAATTTCTTAACTGCAAGATTGCAGCTATGTTGAAATTCAGTGCAGAAAGTTTGAACTTGCCTCTTCAAATGTTATGTAAAATAGATCATTACAGTTGTTCTTATGACAAAAGTTTAACTTGGAGTGGGGCTTACCTTCTAAGTACTACAGCCCTGGGAAAACACCTGATGTATTTTTTTTAATCTATCTGGGAGTTACTTGGTATACCTCTTTAATGCAGATTCCTTATTTTGATCAAACACAAAATTATAATCGCAATATTAGGCAGGTACAGGAAAGTCAAGTAATCCAATCAACATCAAAGTTTTACTCTACCAGCTGCATAATTCACAAGTATGACAAAATACCTGGCAGAGTTTCACAGCTTTTCCTTTTGAATCCAGGAGAAAAGGTCACTACTAGGAAATAAACCTCTATCAGGATAACTCCACTTTAGGATAGCATTAGGATGGCGTTGTTATTATTTTCTATTGTAGTAGTCTTCTCCAAGTAATAACTGTACAATTCAAAAAGGATGAACTTTTCTTTCAGCATAAAATGCGCCTTGAAAGAAGTCAGTGATCCCTCCCACAAAGCATTTATCTCAGCTTGCACAGATAGATACAAGCCTGGACAAAAATATATGCTGTAGACTAATTTGCCTTGGGCAAGCTAGAAATAACTTCTCCATTATGTTTTTTTTTTTACTTTCTTCTCCCTGCCTTGAGATAATATTATATGATGACATCTCCTGGGTGTTGTTAAAATAGAGGTATTTCTGATTACCCCAGCTCTTTGAACCAATGGGTCTAGTTAAAAAATACTTCAGCTAAAGACAATGAAGGCCTCTGAAAGTGCTGGCCAAGAAAGGCAGAGTTTTAGATTGCTTGCATGTTTTTTGTTATGAGCTGTGTGTTCAGAAATATCAAACATTGCTCTTGATGGTATTAATTTAGTTACAGCCTTAGGTGTCCACAGAATAAATTCAAAGCAAAGGAAAAAGTGAATATAAACCACTCACATCCCACAGCATCCCTTTTTTCCTACAGTAACTATCTGTAAGGAAGGACTGTCAGGTAGCACAAGTTGTATAATATAATATTACAAGTCCATGTGAAAATACTCCCAAGATCTCTGAGTAATTCATTTTTATCTTCATGTTTACCATAGGGAATTTGGGAGAAAAAAATGTCCGCAGCTAAGATGTCAAAAGTAACCTTTAGAAATCAAATATGTTCTTGAATTTGTTTTTATAGAGATAAATATTGCATCGCTTTTCTGAATCTTGTGTTGAAGAAAAGGTAAGGGATTTTGCTTGACACTGAGATTAAACCCAAAGTCATAGGTACATACATGTCTAAAAGAAGCTCCTCTATCTGGCAAGAGAATATTTACTTAGAAGCAGACTGATTGAATACAAGACCTGTGCTATATAATTTGAGTCCAGTTTACTTTCAGCTTGTGGAGTATTTTAACCTCTAAATTATCAAGACTATATTATGTCTTGTTATTTTAATGTCAAAAAAGAAAAAGATCTTATGGAAAAAACTCTTGCAAGTAGCTTTTAAAAAAAAAAAAAAGAAAGAAAAGAAAAACCCTTCTTGCAGCATTTTCAGGTAACCAGCTCTTGAAGGGATATAAAACTGAATAACTGACTTTGCCTAATGCCCTGAAGCTGGTTATCTGACTGCCTTATCTAGCAGGATTTCTCTGAAATCTTTTTTTCCTTACATGACTCTGGGAGGGTCAGCCATTGAGGTCATGCATAAAATTACACTTTGAGGCAGACAGGGTATGGTTTGTATGGAAAATAAATCACAGAATTGTAGAAGCATAGGATGGCTTGGGTTGGAAGGCACATCAAAGACCATGTAGTTCCTACTTCCTCACTCTCAAAAATACTATAAAAATGCATAACATGTTGACTGTGTGGCAATATATCCAGGGAGTGATAAATTAATGAGTGACTTTTTTGATGTCTAATTGGAAGTGGTACCTATGGTGAGTGACATCTGGATGTAGGTGTCAGGAACACCCAGGCTACAGTGCTGCGTGTACTGCCAGAATGGTTCTTGTTATTGAAACCTGAGGGGAAGGAAGCAGGAAAGGAAAACCAATAATTGGTGGTTTTGAAATTTGAAGACAAATCAGAAATAAAAACGAGTCTCGAGAGACAGGCTGAAAAAGAAATCCAAAGAATAATAACGCTATATTGGAAACTTAGAAGTACTGAGAAAATCACTCAGCCTACTAAATGGCAAGGAGTGCCTGGATTTGCTGATCACTGGAATATTTGTCCATGTTTGATTAGCCTGGAGGGAGCTCTTACTTGCATACCCTAGGGAATTGTACCACTATTTAGAGACTCATCCTAACTCTAAGAAAGAAACTCTTACTTGGCTGAGTTACTTCAAAATCACTCCGAACAGCAGACATCTCTTGAAGTAGAAATTAAATATGTGCATATATGGTGGGTATGGCAGATACAGTGGCACTAGTGTCAGATGAACAGAAACAAAAGGAAAATCCCATTTCCACCTGTCTAGACTCTCTATTCTCTGTGCATCATTTGTGTATTTCTTCTATGTATCATCCTTCTGTTATGCTGTTGGCATTCTTACTTGCCTCAAGATGAGAACACCAGTTCTTATGCAAATGTGGATATCCCAAGATTTGCCTTCAAAGTAGAAAATAGACAATGGAGGAAGCATGTAGGCTTTACATTTAATCTTTCCCTGGATCTTTGCTCAGATTTACATCTTCTCCTCCCTTTAAATCAGGATGTTCATTTGAATCATTTCCTGGGGGAGTACCTTCCATTCCTCCCTAGGTTTTACAATGCTGATGCCACCTGAAATAGAGGAAGTAGAGCGTTTCCAGTACAGAAAATTAACAGAACCTGTCAACGATCCCCAGTGCTTAATTAATTGTAGGCATCAATAATGTAAGCACTTCATTGCCTCCCAGAAAGGTTTTCTTCCTCTTTGTAGTTCTTCTATGTATATTGAATCTTACAGTTCTGATACATGAACAGACAACTCTGTACAGTGCATATAAATATGTTATCCTTGTTTACAGGTGCAACTATAATGTACATAGTTCATCAAGAGTTCAGGTCAAGAATAGACAGGTTGGCTATGCTACAAGCTGATGAATTTAATTCAAGGTTCAGCAACATTTCTGACACAGACTAATAGATATATTTATCTAAAGCATACTTTAGCAACTACTGGGAGTTATAGGTAAGGTCACACTGATCTCACTCATCCCATATAAGAAAAATCTCCATTCAGTGTACAACAAATAGGTAGATCTGTTTTGGAATCATGATGCAATCATACTTAAGGTACTGGTTCCATTACTTTCTATGGTGTTTTGATTCACTACTGTATTTTAAGACTACTGGTAAAGTAATGGTTGCCTTGTTTCAGTTTTAATGTAATGGACTTAAGGCAGTAGAACCCTTCCAATAAGTGCTCACTTTAATAATGCTGCCTGCACATACGTTAAAAGCTGAAGGCTCATCTTGTTCCCTCTCTCATCAAGAGTGGCACGTTTTGCAGTGAGAAAAGCATCTGATCTGTGTAGCTTGGGAAGGGATTTCCTCCAGGCGCATGACCGGCTCTGTACTTGGAGTGCCAACCTCTAACTCTAGCTTTGAGGCACCCCGTGACTGACAGCTAAATTAAAAAAAAAAAAAAAAAAAACTGTTTGTTTTTGCTCATCTTCCTCAGCACGCCTGAAATTCACAGCCTGGCAGAACTGCCAAAGTCTTAATGATATTCTGTGTAATGATATTCTGTCTGAGGAGGCCTGACTCCTGGACACTGAATGAACTTGAGCTCTGTATAATAAAACCCTTCAGTAATAAAATATTAAATACTCCTTTGAGTATTTAATCCATCCAAACTGCTCCAGGCTTTACAAGGTATTTGTCACCTCAATGGTTATGTGCAAGGAGCAGCCATCCTGAGAGAAATAGAACATGCCAGAAAATATGCAATCATTCTGTGCTGCTTAATGACAGGACCTCAAAGCTATCCTCTAGAAAATATCTGGGGGGCATTTTATTGCTTAGTTGACATCAGACTGTTGGAAATATAACAGTGGCAAATCTCAAGGTAGTATTGATTGTTTTCATAAGGGTTAGCAGCAGGGTGTACAGTTAGGCTATTACTTGATGCAGCCCAGGGGACCTCCTTTATTTAAATGATTTACTCCAGTGGAATAAAAGAGAAGGATAAGTTATATTATGGCAGCAATGGCCTAAAGATAGATGAGAGGCAAGGCTTGTAGAAAGAGGTAGCTTTTAGGAGACTGCTTGATACAGTTACAAACAAGATCACTGGTTAGAATCCCAAGAAAGTTTGCTTTTGGAGCACTGCATTTTTGACCTAGGTTTCCAACAACTAAGCAATGCAGCAAAGTAAACAAGTCTCAAACTTTTAAGAATAGGACTTTTTTTTTCCACATTCCTCAATTATAATTTGGGCTTCTCCCTGTATGGTGTATACAGCATAGTCCTCCCATGCATATATAATCCTCACTTTTTGCCCTCTCAAAAACCCTACCTCTGGAATGAAAATAAACACATGGTTAATTGCCTTACAAAACAAGCCCTAGCATGACAAG